TTATCTTTTATGATTTCATGGAAATTAAGGGTAAATACATTTTTCAAGGCAATTAAAAACGATTCATTTGGCATTTCTAGTTCTTAGAATTTTTTATTTTGGCCGCGGTGAAGACGATTTTTGAACCACAGTGCTTAGTGAGATTTTATAATGTTGGTGTTAAGCAAGAAAAATGTTTCAGAAGAAGCTATTTTTGAGCCTGAAACATTTTCCTTGTTATTACTACTAGCAGATACAGATACAAAATATCTACATACAGGTTTGCCCAATATATACTTTTTATTCTGTTTAGAGATGGCTTTAGAAAGCGATAAGTTGGGTACCAGTTTTTCACAACAGTAAAGTGCACGTACAAGTAGCTTCTAAACCGATAGGATCATACATGTTTTCATCAAAAAGTAAGTTTAATTAGCCTAATGTCATTCTGATGATGAGGATATGAATTAGGGCCTAACTGAAAAAATGCATCGTTACCGTTATCTTGCATAACTGCAATGTAACCGACCCAAGGAATACTAGAAATATTTCAGGGTTATACAAAGCTGTACTTTCAATTTCCGTAACAGTAATAGTTAATTAAGTAGAATATATGATATGTGCGAATATTTAAAAGCAGTGACCCAGAACCGGATTAGATAATCCTCGTTTGGATCACTTCTAGAATTCTAGAAGCAATTAATTATCCTGGACATTTTTGCGCTTGGACTAGCGAAAGCTCAATATGTTTAAGATAGGAAGTAATACAACTATATTTTTTATAAGAAAGGAACCCAAGATGTTGACAAAAATGTATTGCAGTATCACAAATAGCACGCAGTCCTATATATCAAGCTCTAAGTACAAAAGTACAACTTCATACAGATCTTACATTAAAATACAAATACAATAAAATCTGAAAAATAAAGGGATACAACTGTGTCCTATTAGTGCTACTCGTATGTACTTCAGTCACCTTAGAGATATTACCCATTAACACAATTTTTGGAACACAGTAAACATTTTTTAAACTGTTGCATTGGTATCGAATTTATTGCCACAACTACATGCAAGTCTTGAGTGGTCTTATCACAGGGCATAGAGAAAACTGTTAAGATTTTCTATATTAAATCCATTGAATCGTACCTAGAAAAGTTTTGTACATAATCATTTTTAATTCATATTTTAGTGCCCATAAGGTCAAAACAATTATTTGTGCAAAAAAGCTCTGCTGTAACGGTCTACAGTTAGTACGCTCCTGTAAAGCATGAATGGCATTGTAGTGGTAATGACAGTATAACGGTGCATTACATAAATGTGTTTATATAAGTATACGTTTAAATGTTAAGTACTCATAAAGGAAAATATCAAGTACATTTGCAATTCATACTCCTTTTTTAATTAAACCTGGGAATAATTATCCAGAATCATTAGGTATCATCGTTATAGACATTAACGTATGTTATACGGTTACATCAAGGATTAGCTTTCTTAATGCTTCAGCCACCGCAAAGGCTGAATCTGAAAGTATTGCATAATACTGGACAAAATCAGCTTGATTTGTGAAGGTCAGATGGTCAGTAGGCGAGTTGAACAGTGGTAACAGCTGTAAATAACTCCCATATAATAATAATAATAATTAACGTCTTTTATTTATAATATTCTTACAGGAGGCGAGATTTAGATTCTATATCTATTCTACCATCTAACCCTCTTAACAATACGAGATGTAAAAAAAAAGAACTTGTTGAAAATTAATAGGCACCTGTATACAATAACGAATAATCCAAGTAAATACATAAGGAAAATATGAGGACACTTATGGGTTACAACCGATTTCGCTGCTGATCAAGAAGAACTTCTTTCACTTTTTTCTTGAATTTGGATAATGGATTGGTTTCTTTTAAACTGCGATCTAAAGAATTATATGATTTGATCGCATTGTAAATGTATGAATTCTGAAATAGAGACGTGCTGTGGCGTGAAAAAGTCTCTCTATATCTAATATTAATACGATGCATATTCCCTCTACGTATGAATTTGTTTACTAAATATGACGGTGTTTTTGAATAAAGAACCTTATGAGTCAGATTTAGGAGCTGGTACTTATACATTTTATCAATTTTCATCCATTTGAGTTCATTAATGGCAGAAAATATGATCATATATCGAAATATATGATCATATTTTCTGAGATCATTTACAAGCCTGCAACATGTATTCATAATACTTTGAATACGATTTCTTGTTATAATATCTAAATAGGGATAGTAAACTACTAAGCAATACGATATCTTTGAAAATACGAAATATTCACACAATTGCTTTCTCGCAGATTTATGTAATATAGCGTTATTTGCAAATAAAACTCTGAGAATAGCGTAGCACTGAGTAATTAGATAGTTCACGTGTGCAACAAATTTTAAGTCATCATCCATTATAATACCTAGGTTTTTCGAATGATCCACAGGAATTAATTTATTACCTTTTAAATGTATGTCTATGTCCTTTTTTAAGGTATTCTTTTTTGTTCTATTTGCGTATACTAACATATTTGTCTTCAAAGGGTTCAAACGAAGATTATGACTACTACTGAACTTTTCAATTTGGTCAAGATCTTGATTAATTTTATTATTTGTTGTTTCCAAGTCATTGCTCCTAAATGAATGGAAAATTTGAGTATCATCTGCAAAAAATTGTATGCTGCATGATTTTACCTCTGTTTCTAAATCTGAGATATATAATGAAAATAATAGCGGTCCTAAGACTGATCCCTGTGGTACACCAGAACAAATTTTTTGTTCTGTAGAGTACTGTTGATTTAGACGAACTTTTTGATACCGATTTTCAAGGTAGGTTTGAATAAACGAAAGAGGTTTTTCAGAAAATCCATAGTAACTGCATTTAGATACAAGAAGTGAGTGATTAATGGTGTCAAATGCTTTAGTAAAGTCAAGAAGTATGAGAGCTACTGCTTTTTGGTTATCAAGTGCCATTGTTAAATCACAGAGTGCCGAAGCTGTATTATGACCTTGTCGAAACCCAGATTGTTTAGATGGAATAATTTTGTTTCAATATAAGTAGGCGCAGAGCTGCTCGTAAACAACGCGTTCCAATACTTTAGAAAAATTGGCAGTAGACTGATCGGTCCCAGTTGACCATAGTTACTAGGATCAGAACACTTAGGCAGCGGAATGACTATAGCGCGTTTCCACTGATTGGGAAAATATCCCCTCTCTAAACAGCAGTTTATAATATGCGTTAAGTACACATCAATTTCAGGTATAGATAGTAGCATCATATGCAAAGTTATTTCATCTGTACCACTAGAATTTGATTTTATTTTATGTATAATTTTAACAACGCTGTCAATAGGCACTTTATTAAATTGAAATTTGAATTTTGAGTTATTTTTATTAGCTCGGTAATATGCAATTTTATCAGCACAAGCCAAATCACTATTCTCGAAAATTGAAATGAATGCCTCATTTATTTTATACGGATCTGACAAGCTCACGGTAATTGTAGAATCTTTCTGAGATTGTACTTTGAAAGTCTTTAGGGTCTTATAAAACTTTTTTATATCCTGATTTTGAACAGCTTGTAAATAATCTCTGTTTCCTCTTCGCACGAGCGTTAATGCACGATTTCTGAAATATGTATACTGTTGCCAAGAGGCGGCTGTATGATCACGTTTGAACTTTGACAAATCTTCAGCCCTCTGCTTGAATACAAGTTTAATATTATCATCGAACCAAGGAGCTGGAGCTTTGTTTACACGCACTACCTTTTTTGGACAGTGAACATTAAATAAACATAAAATACTATCTGTTAAACAGTTAATTTTATCTTCAATGTCATCTATCGATATAATATGCCACCATGGAAAACTCTTGAGATCTTGTTCAAACGCTATTTCATTTAAACTATGGAAATCCCTGAATGTCACAAATTTCTGTTGATTTTTAGGAAGTGCAATACGTATATCACAGAAGGTTAAATAGTGATCACTAATCATATCAGCATTAAAAGTGCCACTCCTAAGACAACTTTAAGGCTTGCTCAAATAAATAGGATCTAAGAGAGTGAGTGTCAATTCAGTTATCCTAGTCGGTTCAGATATCACCTGTTTCAGATTATAAGAATCTAGGAATTTAGTCAAGTTGTTACAAACTAAAAGCAAATTAACATTGATATCCCCTGCAAGGATGATATCATCATATTCAGCTAATATGGCAGGCAACATGTTATCAAAGGTACTACCGGCTTCTGTAACAGAGCTATGTGGGGGCCGATAGAATATACCAATAGCAATTTTTTGTTTTGGAAGCTGCAACTTCAACCATATATATTCAAGACTTGGGCCTTGGCTAAATGAAATTATGGAAGAGTTGTAGTGGTTGTTCACAAAGACTGCAACCCCACCACCTCGCCCATCTCTATCACAGCGATAGCAGTTGTATCCATTCATTCTTATATGGTCATTAGATATATCTTTTGATAGCCACGTTTCCGATATTCCAACAATATCAAGGTTGTTGTTTTGAACCAGTGTACTAAATTCATGAAATCCTGATAAAACTGATCTGCAGTTTATATGACCAAATTTTAAAACCTTAAATTTATCACTATTCATATTCAATTCTAGATTTCAAGTATGTAACATGATTTTCATAAGTTGGACAATCTAAGTCTTTAGAAGAATGACTAGTATTAAATTGAGTGTTGAATTTAGAATTGTGATTCATACAGTTTGAACAATTCTTAAAAGCAGATTTACATTTTTTTTCCAAATGATCTCCGGCACATAAAGGACATGATACTTTAGAATGCATGCAATTTTTTTCCATGTGGCCAAAACCTGAACATTTATAGCAGCGTATAATTCGTACATAATCCCGCACAGGACATCTTTGCCAACCCATGTATATATGACCTCTATCTAGCAACGTTTTTCTAAATTATGGGCTAACCTCAATGACAACATTTGAAGTAGATTCGGAACATCTGAAAGTGGTTACAGCTTATATATCATCACTACTGAAAATACAAAATTCATTCAAGGACAAGATCTTCTCGATTAATCCCTCAGATTTTGTGTAGGCGCATTCGACATTATTTATCACCATGCGTGGGCGATATTTCTTGATCTCATTGACAGTGAAGTTCGCACCGAGTTCTCCCTGTATACTCGCCATCAGCTTGGACAATGATGCTTCATTTTCACAGCTAAGAATGATGCCATTATTCACCCTCCTCACAGAGTTCACACAGATATTTGACTTAGCTGGATCAATGCTCTTCTTCAAATCTTCCAACACATTAGAGTTTGATTTGTCCGTACTTTTTATCATCAACTTTTGTGTATTATTAATTTTATCTACAATCTTCTCATCTGCTTTTTTTGACTCTTTTACAGCTCCACTATATGATTTAATTACATCATTACAACGGGTGTATGAGGTAGTAGCTTCTATTTTTTCAACTCTTTCATTTATTTTCCCCAAAGAAGTGATTATGGTTTCTTTATCCACATACTGCTAATGATCAATTCATAATGCTCTTGTAAACGACTGTTCTCATTAACTAATTGATTGATATACCTCTCTTTATCTAAAATTATTTCATCCTTTGTTTCTAATAGCTTCTTCAGGTACTGTACTTCTTGCTCTATATGGTCGACAGGAGAGGGAAGTATTATAATGACAAAAATATAGAAACACTTGTTTGGATTTCGACGCTTTGTAGATCTATCCAATACAGTTTTGAGTTGCAAACCGTTCCGATTGACTAGTTAACCTAATCCAAATGTAACTCAATATTAATTTTATAGAGTATTGAAGTTCTTGGTAAATATTTATAAATTTTGGTGCATCCATATTTTCTACAAATCTCAAACACTTATCTATACATACAGTGCTTTTTAAAAAGCCCCCTCCCTAGTCATTTTTGAATGGGTCAAGTTGGTAAGCTGAAATTTGGAGTATTAAATTACGTGACTTTTCCTATCGAAGAAATTTTTAAAAATCTTGATTTGAGAGAAAACCGAGTACAGAGAGATGCTCATGGATTTAGTACTGAATAGAGACTAAATAAAAAGTCAATTATACAGTGCAAGTGAAAGAACAAAAGAAATATAATAAAAAACTGAAAGGAATGTTTCGCAAGGCAAAAGTGCTGATTTGGCTTATTCTTCTTTGTAGACTAGCACATAACTTACATGAATACTATATTTTTTTGAAAATGAAAGTTGTAAATTTCAAGATGGTGGCAGGGCACCATCTTGTACGTTTTTCTGAAAGGAATATGGAATGTGATGCCTCATTTTGATGCTTCTTATAAGTTTTTCGTAGCCCTAGATAATATAATCACTATCTCCCAGAAAGGAGGGAATAGCAGTGTTTTGCGTTTTTGTATATTAAATCGTTCAGGTAGACCTATTTGTCATTGTCTGTCAGATGTGTCCTTGGGACCTTTGCTCTTGGTTAAAGCATCAAAAGTCGGTGGGTCTTTCAGGTCTGGTTGTGCAGATACCAGACAAAGTCAGGGAGAAGAAGAAGAATTAAATTCCGGAAATGCGGTAATAACTTGAGATCTGGTAACCCTGCGTCACCGGTCAACTTCTGCCAGGTAAAAGCGCCTTCTTTTTGAGTTACAGTCCAAAACTGAAGTCGATTGTACGAGTGGTTTGAATTTTGTGAGTTTTGAAGGAAAGTTTTTTAGTGGTGTCGTGAAAATGAGCGACTCACCCATGAACAAAGATAAAGTCTAGGGCGTTCAAACGATGCCCCACCCATCATATAGCCCCGATATTGCCCTTCGTCTTATGCGTTAGGATGTAGTCACACCTCAAAGGATCAGCGATAAAAGCGTTGTGTAGAGTTAAATGGAGACTATTGTGAAGGTCGATCATAAAATGTTACGTGAAATTTGATTTGCTTGTCTTTTCTTGACAAATTCCCGGAATTTAATTGGCACACCACGTACTGTAGTGTTTCGATTATTAGTTGCTGAGTTATAAGCGACTAAATGTACAAAAACGCTTAAGTTCGACAGCCCTCCAGTCCGCCATCTTAAAAGTTAGCAAATCTATATTTACGTTGAAATGGACTTACGCTTCAAGCCTGCTAACATGACCCATTCAAAACATAAATAAAGGGAACATTCTGAGCAGGACTGCGTGAACTTTACAACGAAATGATCATCATATGTAAACCAATGCAAATCCGGCAGGATATACATACAACTTTAGGCATTCAAATAAGGTATCGGTATTGTCTAGGCCTTGGAATTCGCGTCCACTTCGGCTGGTCCATTTTCAAGATTTTGGGCCCTGATTACTGAAGGCTGAAGGTGTATGAAATAGAAGCTTTCGACCAGTCTGCTTAATTTACATCAGTTAACATACGATGGACGTCTTGTTAGATGCCTTACTACCATTTACATTTCTAATTGAAGCGACTCGTCGCAAGCCAAGTCTTTAGGGAAGCTTAACAACTGCACGCGTTTTATTGATCGTTATTTTTTTCTAGCTTATTGTAACGACCCACTGGCAGTGAGCTGCAAGCATACAACAGGTTGCCTTTTGTACTTTTCGAATAGCGAACTCGGGCTGCAATAAACGTGGTAGTCGCGTGCAATCGTTTAGAACAGGGACAGACAGGGGTTCCAGGAAAATCGGAAGTGGATACCGTTTTACGTAATATGTTCCACTGACGAATGACGTAGGCCGTTTCACGGACGCAACGTAGGCAGGGACGGCATTTGAAAGTCCTCTGTTCGGGTTGGAAATTTAAATTTACTCTTTGGAATCGTTCTGGGTTACTTTTTAAGTCCTGTTTTCATGTCAATATAATACATTATTATTGAAGATGTATGTCACTATTGCGAGCACTTTGTTAGGTCAACAACGACCTTCTCCATCGAGGTACGAATGCGTTTTTCTCACTACTAACTGATGTCATGTATTACAATACTTAATTTGATCAGACTTAAAATATAGCATATTTGATAACTTCGTTTTCGTTCGACAACTCTGCCAGATACGAGGGATGTCTTTTAGGTTTTGCATATGGAAATAAAACAATACGGTAGGTAGTTTTAAATGACTTTATTGTTTTTCGAAGTATTCTCCACGAAGATTAATACACATCTGCATGCGCTCGAACCAATTTTCGAGGGACTTATTCCACTCGTTTGCTGGCAGATGCAAAACGGCATTTTCGAATGCGTCAACTGCTTCTTCTGGTGACTGGAACATTTGTTTTTAATTTTCGGGAAAGTAAAGAAATCGTTAGGACTTAGATCGGGACTATATGGAGGATGGTCCAATAATTCCACGTTTTCTTCCGTTAAATACTGCCTTGTTTTTTGGGCTGGGTGCGAGCTTGCATTGTCTTGGTGGAGGATGATTCTTCTTTGGGGGTTGATTTTTCGAAGCTCGGTGATGACTTTAGGCAAAAAAATGGTGGTATACCAATCCGCAGTAACAGTTCTTTGCTCATTAAGAGGAATTGTTGCAATATGACCCGCTTTTGACACAAATGTCGCGACCATCTTTTTCGAAACGCTTCGAGAACACATAACTTTTGTTGGCTTTTCTTGACCTTGGAACACCCAAACAGCCGACTGTCGTTTATTTTCTGGTTCATAACAGTAAATCCACGATTCATCACTACTAACAATGCTGTACACATTTTTTGAGCTTCCGGAAGTGAAACGGTCAAGCGTTTTTTGACACCAATTAACCCTGGCTGCTTTCTGCTCTTCAGTCAACAGGTGGGGTATCCAACGAGAAACTAATTTTCTTACTCCTAATTCTTCATATAAATTTTTTTTGAATTGAGGTCTTTGAGATCTTCAAGGACGCCTAAATCTCGCAATATGTCACATGTCTATCTTCTATGATGAGTTTACGCACAGCATCGACGTTTTCCTGGGTGATTGCCGTTTTTGCTGCACCCACCCTGGGATCGTCTTTAAGACTCACCCGTCCACGTTTGAATTCTCCATACCAACGGAGAATCGTCGACTGATGCGGCGCTTTGTTGCCGAAAACAGACAGTAACTCAGCAAGGCATTCTTGTTGCGATAATTGTCTCTGAAAGTTGTAATAAATTATGCCGCGAAAATGTTCTCGGTTGAGTTCAATTTTTTTAATGACTGGGTGATACTTAAAAATTCACTGTATTGAGAACACTGCACGTATTGTTGTGAAACTTTGAATTTAAGTTTACTAAAGAGTGAGGTTAAGATTCAGTTCTGACGTTCGATCCGCGCGGCCTACTATGTTTCTATATGCAAAACTTAAAACACATCCCTCGTAAAACTGTCACAATGCCGGAATCACAGAAAGGCGCATAGGAGAGGGTTACTGCCGATAAAGATGCAGCGTTTGAGGTCTCATAATTGGCTTCCCAATCATTTCATAATATTCCAATTTATCAAGTTGTCTGGAGCTTTCAATCTGACAAAATGCTGGTATAAATAAATACCATCAACAACAATAATATCAGTCGTAAAATAGACTCTTTATTGACTCGCAGTAAACAATGAGTAATATTGAAAAATGGCATCAAGCAAGTTGACTTGCTACGCAACGCTGTTAACAGTTTATAAAGGATTACTTTCAACATAAGCTGGCCACCCTTAGCTGGCTACATACATGGCATAATTGTGTGGGGTGGGATGTACGGTTCAAATCTTGGGCAGTTAAAAGTGGTGCAGAACCATATTGTAAGGATTATTCTAAAAAAACCTAGACTATATCCCACTATGCAACTTTATTCTCAAGAAATAAGCAATATTAACATCTTATATATCCTTGCAGTATGTAGTTTTGTACATGCAAGTCGGAAATTAAATACAAATTATGTGTCCCACAATTTATATGACCCGAGCAAACACCACTCATAAACTGAACGTCCCGCAGTCCAGGCGAGATTTAAATTTGCGTTTTGTGACATATCTTGCACCTAAATTTTACAATTTGATTCCTGCTAATATCAGGAATATTGGAAATAATAAAAAAATTAATGTTTCGTTTAATATGTTCTGTTGGGAAAATCGTTAACAATTTATGCGTCTCTTTTAAGTTGCTTTGAGGTAGATTGATCTGCCTATTTGTTTCTTTTCTTTCTTTTTGATATTATTGTGACACTTTTTCTCTGTGATCTTAAGTTAAATCTATGACTTACAACAAAAATATGAAATTTTCTTTCATTTTGTGTATATCGTGTTTCATGTTTTGTTTGTATAGTTGAGTGATTTTATACAAAATATATATTGCACGATATTTATCAATAAATTACCGTTTTGGTCTGTTTTTGCGTATACAAGTTTTTAAACTGAGGCG